GACACGGCCAGCACGGACAAACTCACCTGGCCACGGCCACGGCGAGCAGCTCGCAACGAGCAGCGAGCACAGAGGACAAGAAACCGAGCACAGGGCAAGCACGAGCGGACACCGACACCCCATCCCCACCCCACCCACCCTCTTATACCGCCCCACTTCCGGGCAGGCTCTCGCTCCCGGCCGGACACACGCACGTACTACGTGCACCCTCCCCCACTTCGCCCCTCCCCTCCGCGCCCTCGCAACCCGTCCGCCCGCCCGCCCGCGTACGCGGAGATGAGCGCCCGCCACGCACGCCGTGCCTGTACCGTACAGGGTGCCAGGGCGCATCTCCGATCCGCGTCCGCAGGGTCGGCGCACCGTGTCTGCGCGGACTTTGTCGCCAGATCCGGCGCGGCGCGCGGCGCGCGGGGACGCGCGGGACGGCTGGCGAGGCGAGGCGAGGCGAGGGGCGCAGGTTGCTGCACCCCGGGGGAAAGTGCGAGAGGAGCGGACGTGTCTGGACGTGGCGGGGCACGTTCGACGACGCCCCCACATATCGAGCGCGGGGCTGTTCGTGCTCTGACCCTTCCCGCCGCCGTCCTGCTGCAGCCGGCACGGTGGGGATGTGTCTCGTAGTCCGCTGTTTCCATGTACGCTCACAGAATAGATTCCGGCGGCGGCGCCGTCGACGTCCCCGACGCGTTCTGCATGTATCATCTCGAGGACCCTTCGCCGTGTCTGTGTCTGGGACACACATCCTGCTGCTAACGAGCTGGCCCAGAAGACGAGCGCACGTCGACGCGAACGCACGCTCGCCGACTCGGACGCCACGGGGAATGCAAGAGAGGCCGGGCACGACGCCCGCCGCTCGATATTCGAAGAACGCTGACGACGTTGTGCGCATGCGCGCGGAGCTGCACACGGACGCGGGGCACGCTGTACGGAGAGTTCTGCGGACAGCGCGCACACTCGCCGTGGGCACGCGATGCAGGGCCTCCCCATCCCGCTCACGAGGCAAATAGACCATCCCATCCCACCGACGGAGCGCACCCTGCGCCCGCGCACGCCCTGCCCGAATCGTCCGCGCATGGCACGCCGCGGAGAACGCCCACGACGGAGCCTGGGAGCCCCGTTCACGACAAGGCCATGAACGATCCATCTGCAGCCGCGCGCGACGTTCAGGCGGGACCGGGAGCAGTATTCCTGCCGTCTCGTGGGCCGAGGCGTGGAATGCACGTCGTGCACTAGACGATGCATCCGGGGGCGTGCCATACGCTGTGCAAAAGCTCGTCGGGAACGGGGAGGCGGGGAGATGACTTGTGTCGGACAGCGTGTATTCGCATGGAAGAGGTACGCGTGATCCTCTTCAAGCTCAGGTTGGATTGCTGATGTGGTTCTGCTGTAGGTGTGAGCACTGTGTATTGCGTCCCTGACGTCTTGTATGTGCTCTGAGAACATGGGAGATGCTCCCGTAAACGACCGGCTGAATACTCACCGGTAGTGCAGTTGCATGAATACTGCGAGCTCAAACCCGAGTTCTTCATTCGCTCCTGGAAAGTGTGCTCGTGATGCGGGAGAAGACACGAGGCTCGACTCGTCGCCGCCGCGTCCTTGCACGTCTACTTAGTACACGCTGCGAGGTACGCACTCAGGCTAGCTTGCCCGAATCCCTCTGATTTCCTGCGCACCACGATCAGCTAGACTCAGTACTCGGAGTAGTTGCGACCTCGGCCAGCACTACTTCTTCGCGCTACGCCCATGGAAGTGTGTATCTCGTGGTCAAGAGATTCTGCGATTAGGCATGGCGACCCGGAGACTCACTCGACAAGTACGGCGGACGAGGGCTCACAACACGACCACGCGAGGCGAGCACGGCGTGCTTTCCGCATCAGCACAAGGTCGCATGCTCTCGCAAACGCCAGCCGTCGCGTTCGCGAACACGACGAGCTCGACTTCGTATCCGCCGAGCAGACTCGCTCGCACGTCCGCGATGTGGTCTCAACGCCCTCCAGCAGGTACGTCCAGTCAGACACAGTAGCATGGTAGCGCTTGTTGACACGCTTGTAGTAAACTCTCCAGGAGCTTCTCCTCTGCGAGTGCGGGCCTTCGATTACTCATACTCGCTGCCGATTCCCAT